CAATTCAGAAAGATATATTCACAACTATTTGGTTTATATTTAGCACCAAAAGTCAAATACAACATCGTTTTGACTTCTGATGGTGTTTTAAAAGAAAAGAAAACGTTTAAAGGTTATTCTAATGATAAGATAAGTGTAGAAGATTACGTTCAGTTAGCAAGCGGACATGATGTGTCGAACGAATTTAATAAACCATGGGAAAAAAGTTTCACCAATGGAGTAGTTATTCCAAATGATAAACAAACTAAAGTTTTTAGAAGTTATTTGAATAATGTTAAAAGAAAACCACCAAACAGTGAAGGAATTATGTATCCTTACAACGACAAAGATGAGTATAGTTTTGACGAAAACTATGAATTTGATGATTTCGATTATCTTACTATTCAAGAAGAGAATGGAGATTGTTTTAAATGAAGTTGAATGACAATTTCTTCGTTGCCAAAGTCTATGAACCTGTTTTTACCGTCTTTGATTTCCAGATTTATATCTTTGATCATGAAAGAATTGACTGGTAAATAGGTCGTTTGAAACGGTTTCCCTATAATTCTGTATCCGATCGGCACCGTAAAAGTCGGTATGCTGTATATGATTTGGCGTTTGTGCTTGTTGAAAAATCCACCGTTGATCAAATTACAGTGAATGTTGATCACGTCGATGTCGTTCTCGATGTTGGCCTTGTGCGGCGCCAATGTCGATTGCGCGTATATTCGTTTATCGAACCCCAGTAACGTATTCAACGAATTTTCTACGTTGAAATCGACTTGACTGTTATTTCTCAAGATCAGTTTTATTTTGTTCAGATTCAAATTACCTTCGAATTCGATATTGTTTTTGCCGTTCACGGTTCCTGCGTATTCGGATAGGTATTCGTTGATGGCTACGTATTCGTAGCTCCCCGGTAGTAAGCTTATGGTTTCGAACGTAACTCCGTTATCCGTCGATATTTTTAGTTGATTGTTTTTTTCGTTGATGTTTCTAATGGAATTGTAAACGGAGAAATACTTTAATCCCAGTTCGTACTGTTTATTGCGATCGAGTTCATA